TTGGTGGCAGCAAACAAAACTTGAGGCACAAACTCTCAGGAAATAGTCTGCTTCCAGGAAACACATCCTAGAAATCAATCAATGTAGAAAACTACATTTTCTGGAAAAAATTGTAAATGTGATTAAAAAGGTAATTGTTAATATCCTTGGCAGCCTGATTGAATGAAATCAACCAGCAATGGGCACACCAGTTTAAACAACTCTATTTGCTTTAAAAAGGAACATGTGACAGTCATCATGAAAAAAGTCAAAAACCTCCCCCTGTGGATGGGGATCTGTGCAGGGAACCCTGTGATAGGAGACTCGGTGATCTTTCTCAGTTTGAGGTCTCCCTGTCAGTTCGTGAACTTTCTTTCTATGCACAATAAAGTCTTACCATTTCAAGTTGATCTGATTTCATTTTTGATGCCCAGGTGCCCTGTCCTTGAGGAAATAAGACGTAACACAGATACCAGAAATCCAGTTACTCACAGGGACTCCACTCTTGGGACACAGAAAGCTCTATCCCAAACCACAACCTGAATGCATAGTTGGATATTGTGTGCCTCTTCTCAGTTTTGTGTGTGTTTGCAGAGAAAGACAGAGAGGGAGGGAAGGGGGAGAGAGAGAGAGAGAGAGAGAGGAGAGAGAGAGAGAGAGAGAGAGAGAGAGAGAGAAGGGGGAGGAGGAAGAGGGAAGAAGAGAGGGAGATGGAGGGAGGAAGGGAGGGAGGGAGGGAGAGAGAGAGATTTAATTTTCCTCTTTATAAGGCTTTTCTAGTTACATGGAGATTAACTAGATTAAATCCACCATAGTCTTTTATCTGGAAATACAGAATAAATATCAAAGACATTTCATACATAGATGACTTTAGAATAAATGTGAAATCCTATCAAAATTATTGGTCCATACTTTTGAGAATATATTTTCAAGAAAACAAGAGGTAAAAATTTGCAAATACTACACTTATTATTGCATAATAGCCAAAAAAACCCCTCAATAAATATATAAATGCTCAAAGAAGAGTAGCTTATTTTAGCTTGCCAACACTACAGAATGGTGTGTGACTGTGAAATGACAAGTGTGAAAACTCTGATACATGGAAAGAGTTTTCTTTCCTTAGGTGTGCAGAATAAGTGATGTCTGAAAATGGCCATAGCATCCATTGGTGCACATTCAGTGGGGGCAACAGGTATTAATTAGTAGGTGCTCAATAACTGTGATCTCTTTCCCTGCCTATATCTTCATTGGTAGGCAGCCCATCTCAGCTAGCACCTTCTCCATGGAGCTTTAGGTTGTAAACTCCACGAGGATTTCAGCTCAGTCTTATTTATCAGAGAACCTCAGTACATAACACCATGCAGACTCACTTTGTGCAAATCAGGAAAAAAGTCCCTTCCCCTGAGTGGCAGAAGCCCCGCACTGGAGTTAGTGGCACTGGTATGTGGATGCATTTCAGCCCCCCTCACAGGGGTGCCCCCTATAGGCTTTAACCTATTCTACCATCCATGGGAGTCTGTCTGGCCTGTGCCTGGCATAAACAGGTACTCAATGAATATTTATGCACTAGGTGAAGGAACCAAGATTAAGGAGAACAAAGATGCCTTTCTTCGTGCTCTTGGCAGAAGTCACAGCTTTATCCAAGATTTTTGACCAAGTCTATTTACCAGTCTCAAAAATGTGATGGGCATATTACAGTCATTAAGACCTGGGATAGCTCTGTGACTTCTGTGCCTGCTGCCTACAAGGTGCTCAGAACCTCCTTAATGGCTCACTGTCCATGACTGTGGCACCATGTCTAAGTGTACTGTAAGAATATATTTGGTTTTTGTCCCAGTTGCTGACAGTCTCCTACAAGCCTTGGAATTTCTTGAGTGACAGGAGTATCTTTTGTTACTCTAAGCATCACCCTGTTCTTCTGCTATCGAGTCTCTTTCAATCATACTTGATTTTATGCTAACGTTACTGAAGGTCAGACTCTTAGATAGCTTCAGGATCGGGCTGGTCACCAGAAATACCTATTGGTAAGGTAATTGGAGCTTTCATTCCTGTCCACTGACTTCCAGAGAGCAGAGGGAGACTGGAGACAGCGTTACAAAATCTCTTGAACAGTAAGAATCAAGAGCTTCTAGGCTGAGGAACACTTTGAGGTACTGGGAAGATGATGTGCCCAGAGAGGGGCATGAAGGCTCCATCCATATCCCCTGCCTCACATATCTGACTCATTCTGGCAGATTATGGAAACTGACCAGGTGGGTGCAGGAACCTCTGAGAGATTACAGACAGCTGATCAGAAGTACAGGTGGCCCCTAGAACTTAGGACTGGGGTTTAAAGTGGGGGCAGTTAGCCTGTGGGGTCTGTGCCAACTCTGGATAGTTAAGAGTCAGAATGGAATGGAATTGCTGGACACCCAACTAATGTGGGAGGATTTCTTGCTGGTGTGAAGCCACCTCATCTCCAGTTGGTATCAGAGAATATCGCCAGTGAGGTGGTGGTTGCCAAGTTTCCCTGTAAACAAATTGCCAGGGAATTCCTACTTAACAGTAGAGGAAGGTCAAGCTACATACCTTCTAGATGATTCTGTTGTGGTTCCATAAGAGATGTCATAAGTGGGAAGGTATGAAAATGTGATGTCACAATGCAACAGAGAATTTTCTGTGGGTTGATTCTGAAAGCCCACCTGACTCAAAAGGTAGTTGACCTGGGCGCCTGAGGTCCTCAGACTGACAGGCAAAGGAGAAGAAAGGAGCCCATTTTCCAAGAGCCAGGCAAGCCCTAGGTATAATTTCTAACAAATAGAATTTAGCTTTTGCATCCTCCTTTTCTGTACTTTTCCCCACACACCTGTACTTCTTTTCCTTGGTCTCTCCTGTTATCCAGATCCCTGAGCTATGGGACCTGGCCTTCCTAGGCCCATCCCCAATTACCTGGGGCTGCTCCCCTGACTTTGTTCTGACCCAAATTTAAACCCTGTTCTTCAGTGTGTTCACTGATTCTCAAACTTCACTGTCTTTAATAAACACCCAGGAGATTTAAAAAGTATCAAGGGCTCACCCTCAAATATTTTCATTCTGTTGCCCAGTGTCTGATATAGGAAGGTCTTTATTTTGATTCTCTTGGCCAGGGTAGCACTTCAGGTGATTCTTATAGATCTCTTACAGACTGAGAATGGCCAGATGCTAAAAGCCTTCGATTAAATTTATTCAGCTCAAGGACATGGGAAGACAGCAGAATTTAGGGCCCTAGAAGTTTAATGGGAAATAAAAAACTTTTAAGTAGCAAATCTGAGATTTGGGGGATAGGCCCGTCCTGTTCTGGAATTTTCAGTAAATATGCCTGAACTATTCTTTTTTTCTTCCATGTATGATGAATTCAGTTTTTTAGAAATTCCATCTCCTTACCCTCAGTCTCTCCCCCCATGAATCCCATGGGACTCAGCTGATAAGGAGTGTGGATAGGGCAGGACTGCTGGGAAGAGAGGGGTCAGGACTGACCACATCTCTCAGGGCCATTCAAAGGCAGGTTTATAAGCTTCAAGGGAATACATTTTGGGTCATGACTCCAGAAATTATGGGCTTTACAGTGGACAGTAGACCCCCGCTTTCTTCTCTGTCTTTCTCCTCACAAATGCAATCTCTACAGTAAACTGAGACCTCACTCTCAAGTGTGCTTGTCTGAATAGACTGGGCATGGTGCTGCCAGGGTGTTCTGCCCTGCCTTTGACAGCTTATTTCATTTAGCAAATGAAGTCTGGTTCTATTCTTACAATAATGAGGAACTTAAATGACTTAAACCCCAAATCTAATGCATTTAGAAGTTTCCAGAAAGTGCTGAGGCAGGAGCACTGGACTTGGCACAAACAGCCCAGTGTGGTCCGGTGCACACTGCCAGACCCAAAGCCTGACCCCAGGATTGCAGACATCTCTCTAGGGAGGGATCAAACGAGAGAGGAGAATTTTATCTTCTATCTTTAGATTCAAGGTGCTGTACCTGATGGTTATGAGAGTCACCTTTACTGAGTGTTTCATCAGCATTTTCTTCTTTAATTGCTTTCCATTTTATGAAATGGAACCTGAGGGACAGAGAAGCCAACCAACTCACCCTACTAAGCTCAATTTGGGAACCACCAAGCATTGGAGCCGCCTATGAATGCATCCATTTCATGGAGGACACACTCAGAGATCAGTTTACAGCATTTCAGCACTATGGACTTGATATCCCTCAAATGAGACCTTTGGAGAACATCTATTCATTCAGTGTTTTCCTGCCACTGTCCCAAGTTCAGATCGTATCTTGCTCACAGAGGAAGAGACAGTGGCAGGAGGTGTAACTCACACGGGATAGGACGGTATACTTTCTGGATGAACCAGGGCTCAGGAGCAACTCTCAGTTCTCAAATTTTTGAAGACCCACCCATTTTCATACTCGAGTCCTTTGTCCACTGAGGGCAGAGAAGTGTCTAAGCCTGTGGTCCCCAAACTGTATGCTGAGGCACCCTGAGCCACTGCAGCAAACTCCCAGGGCCCTACAGAATATCTTAAAATTCCACGGGCAACACACTTAGTTCACACAACTTAGTTCAGTTTCGACATTCGCTCCATATTTCTGATCCAGTCAGATGCGTGTTTTTGGTCTTGTTTTAGATTACAGATCATTCTGTGGCAGGGTATATACAGTGGGAACATCTGCACCTTACAGACAGCACGGTACCTAGCTGGAGAGCGCTTGTCACAGCCAACAATGCAGACTGGTGGATGTCCTGCCATCTGCAAACAGCAGAAGCAAGGCCTGATTAGTTCCACTGCTAACTGTTATGAAGCGTCTTTATAACAACAGACATGTAAAAATCATAGTTCCCCTCGAGGCTCCAGTGGCCCACTGCTGTGCTGGGTAAGGCACTGCATTCACCCAGGCAGGTTTGCTCTGGCTTATTACAGGAGACAAAATGGCTTTTGTTACACATTCATGGGAATCAGAAAAAGACATTCTTGATGATCCTTATTTCCAACGCCCTACTTACCAACTTCATCCCTGATGTTTGCAAGTTCGATTGACAGCTCTTTTTCTTTCACAAGGGCACTTTCATTCTGTAAAAACAAAACGGATACCAAGAGTACCCTAGTTTTATGCTAGATAAGTACTTTCACATGTTTTAATTAATAAATCATATTAACCAAATATTTTAAAGTCCAGCCTTTAGGAGATATTTTATCTCTTTATAAGCATATAAAAACTTACAAAGCCAAGTCTGACTCATTCATTTGTTTTCATTCAAAGAGTAAAGCTTGTAATATACTATAATAATATACTTGTGCTTTTCTCTATATTACACTTTTATAAATCATTATGGAATAATTTTTTACACATCTGTGTCCTTTACATTAGTTTATTGATATACATTATTATACACTGCTGGTTCCTATTAGATTTTTTTGTGATGGAATGTGAAATTTTTGAATGAAAATGTCGATGATGTATTTCGCTGAGGGGCAAAGGCCTGTTCTTGCCAACTATCTCCTTACACTTACTCTTCTGTCCATATCTGTTAGCTACCTAATGAATGACGAGGATCAGAACAAACCAACAGTTCTTAGAACTTCCAGCAGCCTCAATAGAAGGGGTAAGAGGCAAGCACACCATTAATGACACTTCAAGTATTTTTAGGGTAAAGAATACCGTTTGCAATTTAGTGACAACTAAGTTGTTTTCAAGTCAAATACATTCTGAGACACAATCTAGAGAAGTAGGTGAAGTTATGCTGAATTTGTAATCTGACTGATTGAGTCACCATATACAGTTTATTATAATTTTATTGCTAAATAATACTACTAAAAATTAGAAATGCCACAAATAAGTCAGAGATGCCAGATTTTCAAAGAAGGGCTTTTATTCAATTGAAAGTACTCCCAAGCAAACTGATTTCCAGACAGAGAATTTTGGCTAAAATGTAGGTCAAAATACCTGAGGTGAATATTTCCAGTACCTTGGGAATGTTTGTTATAGCTCGCATGTCCAATGTCCCCAAAGCTCTACATGTGTTAAAGGCTTGGTCCCCAGAGTGGTTTTATGAGGGGTGCTGTGGAATCTTTAAGAGGTGAGGCCTTTTGGGAGGCTCTTAGGTCATTGGGGGTGTGCCCTTTAAGAGGATTCTGGGACCTGCCTCTTCGTCTTTCTCTCTTGCCTCCTGGCCATGAGGTGAGCAGTTTTCTCTGTCACCTGCTCCCCACTGTTGTCACCCAGGAAGCCCACCTGCAGCCCAAAGCAATGGGTCCACCTGATCTTGGACTGGAATCTCTAAAACTGTGAGCCAAAATAAGTTTTTTTCTATTTATAAGTTAATTACGTTAGCTATTTCACTATAATGTTGAAAAGTTGACTGATACATGGTTCTTTTGGGTTTTTTTTGTCAGTATTGAGGTTTGAACTTGGGCCTTATGATTGCTAGGCAAGCGCTCTACCACTGGAGCCATGCCCCAGACCTTTTTGCTTTATTTTTCATGTAGGGTCTCACATTTTTGCCTAGGGCCAGTCTCAGACTACAGTCTTCCTACCTTGTCTCCTGTGTAGCTGGGCTTACAGCTGTGTGTCACCATAGCTGACTTGTTGGTTGAAATAAGTTCTTGCTAACTTTTTGTCCTGGATATCTTTGAAGTGTGATCCTCCCCATCTCTTCCTCCTACACAGCTGGGATTACAGGCATGTATAATTCTTTCTTTGTTGACCCCCTTTGTCTTCAGTTTCAGCATCCTATATCCATGGGACTACAGGCAGTTCTCCCAATTTTGTTTCTGTGTCTGCTGCATTTAGACTCAGATAACAGGGGGCTACTTTGGGGTCCTGAGAGTCTAAGGTTATCCAATAGACCTTTGCTAAGCAATGCCATAATACAATGTCGAAAATAACTCTATTTTCATAAGCTGAGAGCTACTGTAGTCACAGGCATCAACCATTATTAGTAAGGATTCTCTTAATAAAATGTGGCAATTATTCCATCCTTTGAGAGACACTGGACCCTGTGATGGCCTGAATATTTGTGCCCCATTCATACATTGAAAAGCTGCTCTTCAAGGTGAGGCTGACACGAAGTAGGCCCTTAGAGAGGTGATCAGGTCATGAGAGTGGAGCCCTCATGAATGGGATTAGTGCCCTTATAAGAGCAGCCCAGAGAACTTGCCCCTTCAGCATGTGAAGACCCAGCCAGACGGCACTGTCTATGAGAAAGTGGACCCTATCAGACCCAAATCTGCTGGAGCCTTGATCTTAGACTTCCCAGCCTCCAGAATGGTAAAGCATAAATTTCTTTTGTTTATAAGCCATTCAGTTTATGGTATTTTGGAAAAGCAACCCAAATGGGCTGTGACAGATCCCCCATCTTGTTCCCAAGCCTCTCTCCTCCCATCAGGGCCACAGTGTCCTTGCTTTCCCTAATTCAGGGCTAGCAATTACCTGAGAGTATGTTGTGAGTGTGTATCTTCCTCAATTCCACGCCCACGGCACAGGGTTGCCATGATGGCTGAATAAATTAGCATACGTGACACAGCTAGGATGGTGTCTAGCACTTAACTAGCTTCTATGAGTGTTAGGTGTTATTTTATTTCCGTCTTTTTCTTTCTTTCTTTCTTTCTTTTTCTTTCTCTCTTTCTCCTTCCTTTCTTCCTTCCTTCCTCCCTTCCTTCCTTCCTTCTTCCCTTCCTTCCTTCCTCCCTTCCTTCCTTCTTTCCTTCCTTCCTTCCTCCCTAGTTCCTTCCTTCTTTCCTCTCTTTCTTTCCTTCCTTCCTTCTTCTTGAAAGTGATAGTAAACTTTATTAGGGGAAAAAAACCAAATCAATAGACTGAAAGAAGGTCATCTCTAGAGTGAGAATGAGAACAATGACCTGTGGTTTCTTTTTTTTTTTTTTTTGCAACTGGGTAACATCCTCTATATAATAGGGGCTGTTCTGTAGTATCTGTGTTTAGACATTAGTCTTATGGTTTCTTTCATCTATCTGTCTATCTATCTATCTATCACTAGGGATGGAACCCAGGAAGGTACACATGTTAGGCTAGCACTCTGCCACTGAGCTACACCCCAACACCTGGTTTCTTCAGCTCCTTCCTGACTCTAAGTTTGTGTGTGTATGTGTGTGTGTGGTGCTGGTAATGGTACCCAGGGCTTCACATATGCTAGCCATGCCCTCTACCGTGTACCACTGAGTCATATCCCCACACCCCCAGTCTATGCAGAAGCCAGAACAGAGCAAGTGTTCTAACAGACAAACCCAGACCTTATACACTTGTTCTAACAGCATCTTAATATGGGCAGCTTGTTACAACCAACTTGTTACTCAAGTTAAGAAAACGTAGAATTTTAAAGAGGTGTCATTTCAGTATTTACCCTGAAATGATCTTAAACTAGTAAAAACAACTTGTTTATACTATCAAGACCAATTTTAAATCCTAATATACTCAAATTCCCAAACACATCCAGAGAACAGAAATCCTGGACTTGTCAGCCCAGGAATAGCATCACTAACGTGTTTGTTCTCAAAGTGATGCATTGCAAAGAGTCAGACCGGGTCAGGCAGTGAGTAACCAGAATTTAACTAAAACAACAAGCGAGCTCCAGCTTTAGACCAAAGTCAATGACCCTTTCAGCCCCTGTAGTGGCATTTGTTGAATATAGCAGTGTCTTACCCTAGGGATCTCCCACATCACAATCAACCACTCCATACCTTTCAGGCACAGAAGAATCAGGCATTTGGGAAAGAGTGGCTGGAAGGCCCTGTGAGGGGACTGGCCTCTATTGGATACTGGGCTGATGATGTCGAGGAGGTGGCAGATGAAGACTTCAAACCCCAATAACTTTGGTGATAAGCTAATGCTGATACCTGGTGGGCAGGCTTTTAGAGGAAGCACAAGTAAGATTGAGAGGAAAAGAGTGAGAGAATAAGAGAAAAGAAACAAGGGAAGAAAGGAAAGGGATGAAAGGGGAAGTGAGAAGGAAACAGAAATGTGACACTGCACCTTCTCCAGTTGGGCAGACAGGTGCCCTTGAGATCAAGAAGACTGGCTGAGAGGCCTGGGTGTAACCCAGCACTCGCCTAGCAGTTATGAGGTACATGTACTCCAGTACCACAATACAAAACCCATGGAAAATAACTAAACTCTGGTAAGACCTGGCTAAATATTATTTATTAATTAATCGAAGTTATTAACACAAACGTCTACCAAACACTTTCTGTAGGCCACCATAGTACTGGTGAGCCTTTTGCCTCATTGACTTCTCCAGGTACAGAAAATACCCCAAGGATACCAAAATCCATGGATGCTCATGTCCCTTGTATGAAATGGTGTTGTATTTGCACAGAACCTGTACGCATCCTCCTACAGACTTTTTTTTATGAGTGTGTGGTACTGGGGCTTGAACTCAGGGCCTTCACCTTGAGCTACTCCACCAGCCCTATTTTTTGTTAAGGGTTTTTTCGAGATAGGATCTCGTGAACTATTTGCGCAGGCTGGCTTCGAACCACGATCCTCCTGATCTCTGCCTCCTGAGTAGCTAGGATTATAGGTGTGAGCCACCAATAGCCTGGCCTAAGGGCTGGAGTGACTCAGGAGGGAGGAGAGAAGAGGGGTCAGCTGAGAGCAGCTGAGCCTGGAGTCCACAGTTCTCACCCTGTGCTTCTGAGCTCAGTAGCTTTGAGTATGGACCTTTTTTTTTTTTAGTGGGACTGGGGTTTGAACTCAGGCCCTCGCACTTGCAAAGCAGGTGTTCTACCACTTGAGCCACGCCTCCAGTCCCTCCTACAGACTAAATCATCTTTAGATGAGTTATAATACCTCATACAAGTAAACTCTGCGTAAGTAGTTGCTGTATACTGCATTGTTTAGGAGCGATGACAAGGAACAAATGCCTTTTTAGTACAGATGCAATTTTTTTCCAAGTATATTCAATGCATGGGTAGGTGGGTCTGTGGAGGTGGAACCCACAGATACAGAGGGCCACCTGAACTGCCCAGTGGGTCCTAAGTTTTATTTACTTTTATAGGTGAGGAAACTGAGGCTGTATGGTGAGCTGACCAGCACCTGTACAACACACTGAGAAACA